CATAAAGGTAATTTAAAAATTAAAAGGTTAAGAATCGTTTAATGGTTCAAAATAGAGTCAATCCCTAAATTCTAAGTCCGACAACAATTTCATGACACCCCCTGACCTCAGTCCAAAAAAAGTTCCCTATCGGGTTGGGAATCAATCCTAGTTCAAAGCCAAAATCTTAAAAATTAAAGCCTGGAACGTACCGACTACGCCGTATTTTCCGGTATTTATCGGTAGTACGGCACGGAATACCGACCGATACGAAATTCTGGGCTCTAATAAAAATCAAGCCCCACAAAACCACAAAAAAACTCCAAAAACTAACCATATTATTGTCCCCTTTTGTCAAAAATTTAGTGTCGTCTTTATCCTTTTCGTGTACTTTAATAACTCGGTGAACAATTGGAATGTCTCTTCCTTCAATTTTGAAGACTGTAATATCCCCGGCACGGATGGGATCATCAACATCATTTGTAAGCATTAACAAATCACCTCGGAAAAATGCTGGCTCCTAAAATTTGAAGCTGTTTAAAATTATTTAAATAAAAAAATCTGACCATTGAACCTGACAATACGACGACTATTGGACTTTCAGAGCCGGTAATCACCATTAGACCTGAAAAATACTTTTTAAGTAAAATTGATACAGTTTAACTCCCAATGCCTTCCCCCATAGTTTGTTTCCCAAGGAAATTCTAGGTCGTGGGTTCAAGTCCGCGTTGGATAACGAATTTTCTAATTTCATTAAAATGAATAAAATAGACCGTCTAAAATAATAAAAAGGTAAAGAAAAAAAAGAAATCGTAGACTTGAAATTAGGAGCCGTTTTCCCACAAGACTCAAAATGGTCAGATAACCTCCACCCTTCTCCAATCTGCTCTAAAACGCAAATAGGGGAACAGAGAACTGAGGATGAAAATCTGACCGTTAACGTCTTGTGAGAAAGATAGGAAAAAGGGGGCTTTCAGAATTATCATACTACCATCAAGCAAGAGAAATAAGGGACCAAATGTCATCCCCCTTCTCCACACAGACGGGTCTCTCGAGGAAGGAGAAAAAAGGGGGATAAAAAATCCTGAAGAAATTTGGGACCAAATGTCATCCCTCTTCTCCGAACAGACGGGTCTCTTGAGGAAGGAGAAAAAAGGGGGGTAAAAAATCGTCAAGAAATTTGGGACCAAATGTCATCCCCCTTTAATAAAAAATTCATAAACCTTTCCAAATCATCAATGCCGAACTAACAATCATCGCAAAATTTAAGAATTGGTAAACAACCTGTCGTTTGTCCATTCGTTTAAATTCATCGAAAATACTGAGATCAAAAATACCCATATTTTCTTCTCTTTAAATTTGTTTTTAAAGCACTGATTTTCTAAAAATTAAAAGAAAATTTAAAAACAAATTTTATAAAAATAAAGAAAACTCAGAAAAAATTATTTGTTAATGTAAAATTAAACGTAGACAAAACATTTTGCCAAAGAAAATGACGAGACGCCAATGCTACAATTTAAAAAAATATTTAAAATAAAGAAGGGGACAATTGAGTCTCGCTTCTGGAGCTATATTTTGGGCCATAACTTTGTGAGTTTTCAACCAATTCGAATAAATCTTTTACCATTCGAAAGCCCTGAATGTGAGGATTATTTTCGTCAACTAGATTGATTTGATCAGATCATCCCACAAAAAGTTATAGCTAGAAAATCGGATTTTTCGGCACTTTATCGATCATAACTTTTTTACCAGTCGGTCAGGAATTTTAATTTTTTGGTATGTTATGGCCTATTTAATGCCCTATCCAATGGTGCCAAGAGCAAAAAAAAGTGACCATCCCTTCATAAGTTATAGGGTCCGGGACTCAATTGAGTCGGGCTAATTGAGGCCTCCCACCGATTGAGTCCCGGAGCCATATTTTGCTCCATAACTTTTCAATTCTCAATCGATTTAGATAATTAATATATCAATCGAAAGCTCTGGATCTGAATATTATTTTATCTTTCAGGATAATTACAAACAGATCAACCTACAAAAAGTTACGGCCTAATAAAGATCAAAAATCACGATTGCTTGCACTTATCTAGCTGTAACTTTTTGTATGATGATCTGATCAAATCGATGCTGTTAGCAAAAATGATCCTCACGTCCGGGGCTTTCGAATGATAAAAGTTTTATTCGAATTGGTTGAATACACAAAAAGTTATGGCCCAAAATATGGCTCCGGGACTCAGTCGTCCCTCGGCGCTATTTTGTGTATTTGAATGTTTGTTTTAAAAATTAAATAAAAAATAACCATTGTGTTTGGCTAATAGAACGTGTTTTTCTTTGTATTTTTCTTTGTTTTCTTTGTATTCTTATTTCAAAATTTTATAAAAATTAGAGAAAAAGAAATTAAAATAGCATTAAATATATTAATTTTACGTGTTAAAATCTATTAAGAAAAATCAAGGGAGTGCTCGTACACAAAAAATTACAAACATTAAATACATTAAATTGATTTTAAAAAATTCATATGATAAAAATGAACGTAATTTATATAAAAAAATTTTTTTTAATTATGTATAAAGCGGTAAAGAAGAGTCCGAATCCTCAATTTCCCGGTAATCTTGTTTGTTATTTGTTTTGTTTAGATTTAAAACTAGAGTAAAGCGGCTGGGCTATAGATCTATTTATCTCCTTCAGCTAGTGCAAAAGGTTAATCGTGGCTAGAATAATTCCCCATACTAGGGAAGGGTTGAAAAACTAATTCCCCAGGGGAATTAGTCGGAAAAATAGCTATATGCTTTACACCTCCATCCCAAGTAAAAATTGAATTTTTAATTATAAATGGACTTTAAACTTTTAATAACGCCAATGAGTGGCTCCCAGCCACTGATTAACCTTTTGCACTAGCTGAAGGAGAGAAGTAGCTATGTATAGCCCAGCTGCTTTACTCTAGTTTTAAATCGAAACAAAACAAATACCAAACAAGATTAACGGGAAATTGAGGATTCGGACTCTTCTTTACCGCTTTATACATAATTTAAAGCTCCCAGCCACTGATTAAAAATTTTTTTAAATAAAATTACGTAAATTTAATCATATGAATTTTTAAAAATCAATTTAATGTATACGTAAAATTAATTTAATGTTTATGCTTTTTTGTGTACGCGCACTACCTTGATTTTTCTTAATGGATTTTACCACGTAAAATTAATATTTTTTATTTAATGTTTGTGCATTTTTGTGCCTTTTAATGCTATTTTAATTTCTTTTTCTCTAATTTTTATAAAATTTTGAAAAAATTATTGGCATTCAATCAATCATGTACTGTAATTTTATATCACGCCCCCCATAATTCTATGAATTTTGAAAACCGCCTCTTCTCATTCCCTCCATATATAAACAATTATTTACCCCCTAGCATAATCATTTATTCAAAAAAAATTTTCTAATTAAAAATCTTTATTTAAATTAAACATAAAACCCTTCTATTGAAGGAAATTTGTTTTTTAACAAAAAAATGCGAGACAAAGCAAAATTATTGTCAATTTTTGCTTTAATTCTCGTTTTGAGTTTTGATGTTGGCGTCGCTCCAGATAACCTGGATAAAGGTATTAATATTTAAAACGGTTGTGGACACCTTAGTTTGGGGGGAGGGGGGGGGGTAATTATTGCTTCAATCTATCGCTGGATGGGGTAATTATTTGAGGGAGGACAATTAATACAGGTTATACGGCAGGGTTCGCATCGACAAAATGCCACTCAAAAGTATCAAAATCTCGATAAAAAAGTATATAGGGAGAAAATTTGCAAAAAAAAAGTAGTTTCAAAATTAAATTAGAAAATATTTATTCGTCCTCAAATATTTCATATTTATCTCCTAAATGAATCTTTTCTAATAATTTCTTGCTTCCACTAAGCATTTTGTGCATTTCAACGCATGACATGTCAAAATTCGCTGACACAAGAAGTAAAGCCCTGACTATTAACCTCAAGCTTGTTTCTTTCTTTCGACCATTTTCAGCGCCGCAGGCGAAAATTTTGGAAAATTTGGGGTCCTTAAGACAGATTTCTCCCATTTTTAGCGCCGCAGGCGAAAATTTTTAGAATTTTGGAGGTCCTTAAGCCAGATTTCTTCCATTTTTTGCGCCGCAGGCGAAAATTTTGAGAATTTTGGAGGCCGTAGGCCAGAAAATTCACTTTTTTGCCCAATCCCTTCCCCAATTTCATTTTCAATCAAAAAAAAGTATATACTTTCAAAAAAGTATAAATTCAATTTCGTAAGCATGGAGGTCGATTTAAAAGTAGAATACTTTTAAAAAAGTAGGAATGCGAACCCTGTTATACGGTAATATTATTTTTTATAGCCACTAACGAGAAAATCTACAATCAGCATTTGAAAAATAAAGGGAAATTGGGAGAAGAATATAAAAATGTAATTGTCGAGTACGCTGGTCCAGTTGGTCTGTACGCTGCCTTTGAGCTTTTTATGGGTATTTTTAATAAATTAAAAGTGTTGTTTACAAATTAATATGTTTAGATAGAGTTTAATGTGCTCTATTTTTTGAAATAAGTTTCAGAAATTTTTGTTATTCTTAGATTTGTATAAAATTGTAGTTTTAAATTTAAAAATTTTGCTGTTGTTAGATAGTTCCAATGGTATCAAGAACAAAAGAAAATATCCCACATTTCAGAATTTATAGGGTTCGGGACCAGGGGTGAGCGCAAGAGACAATCTAAGTAAAAAACGCCAAAATTTAACGCAAATAACGCAATGCGCTCCTGTCCGGGACTGAACTGACTATTATTGTTCTGTCTATTTGACGTTTTGAATTATTTTTCCAAGTTTCCAAAATGAAATTTTGGCGGGAAAATTTTATTTAAACTCTGAGTTTTTCTTGTTCTCGTTTACTTTTTTTGATTTTTCACAGCATCTTAAAATAGGCAGAGGCTGCCTTTCAGTTACTCGTTTTTCATCGCGGTACTTGTGGTTTAGTTGGTTAGTGCCCGCGTTTTAAAGCTATAGCAAAAGAAACATGAGCGAGGTTCGAATCCCGTTTGCTCTTTTTTTTACTTTTTCCTTTTTTAGATTTATTCTTTTAATTATTTTGTTAAATTTAAATTTTATTTAAAGAAAATGGAAGCTTCAGCAGAAATGAAATGGGGATTAATTTGTTCAATTGATGACCAAGAAAATGTGAAGGAATACATGTTTTTTTAGTTTTTTAAATTAAAAAAAAATTTTTTTTCTAATTTAGTGACTTTAGCATTTGGATGGTTAATCAATTGGAAATTAGTGCCTCAAAATTGCAACTTGGACACAGATTTGATGAGACTCCAACATTTGTTTTGTGAGGTTTTTTTGGTTAAAAGGGTGGATAGGGGATTTAATAAGAATGTTTTTGCGAGTAATCCTACCATGTTGCCTGGAAATAGGATCTTTTGGGGAGCATTTTGGTAAATGTCCAGTTCTACCTGTCCGGAAAGGGAAAAAATGAAAAAAAAATGCTCACTTTTCCTTTCTTTGCTTTTTTGCGTGTTCGGCCATTTTCTTTCTTTCTCTTATCAGATAGAAGGAAAAATGGATAATCACGAAAAAATGCAAACATGGAAGGATAAGTGAGCATTCCCTTTGCGGATAAAAAGAAAGCGAATTGACATTTACCGATCATACATATTTAACCCCATTTTTGCGGACTTTATCCGCAAAAACGACGCTTTGTAAAGATATGCTAATGTGAGGCGTTTTTGTAGTAGTATCGTTTAGGGACTCTCCACTTTTCATTTCTCCCTATTCTCAATTATTTTTGTCATGAGAAAGATTTTTTTATTCAAACTTTTTTGCAGTCCGCAAGTCAAAAACACGCAATTCGCAATTTACCAAAAAAATCTTTTTCCTAATTAATTTTCATTTTATTTTTATTTAAAAAGGCATGCAATTCCTGGTTCAATCGACCAATCTCGTGAATGTTACGAAACTATAGCTAAACAGCATCCACAAGTTATTTATGTTATTCACATTTTGCCTAGCAAGGATTCTTTGGAATATCAAGTTTTGAAGGAGCACACTTTGGCTGGGGCGCTTGTTGGACAAGGTTTTTTTTTATTTTTGGTTAAATAATTATTGGACTTTAATAGGGTAGGGGTTCCCTCCTAAGGGGGTTGCCTTCTCTTAACTCTGGGATTTTTTGAAAATTTGAAAAAAAATATTTGCGGACATCATTTGCGGACTACTCTTACAGATATAAGAAAGTGGCTTTTATTGGTTTTTCTTTTCGGTAAAATAATTAATTGGACTTTAATAGGATTAGGGGTTGCCTCCTAAATCTTTAATTGGGTTGCCTCCTAAATCTGGGATTTTTTCTGCAAATTTGAAAGAAAAAGTTTTTGCGGACATCATTTGCGGACTACTTTTGTAAATATAAAAGAATTGCTTTTTGCTGATTTTCGAGAAACGTGGCACCTATTAAAAATTAAAATTTTGTTTTTGGTATTTTAGAGGACTTTAAAGACGGAAAAATTTAACAAAATGCTCCCGGTCCCTTACCTGGATAAAAAAATAATGAAAAAACATTTTTTTAAATTTTAGGCGTTCTTGCCGAAAATGCTCTCGCTTACTTTAAATGTTATGAATTGGTTGAAGTTATGGCAAACATGAATCAATGGATTGGGAGACGTCTTGCACAAATTACAGCACGGCGAACGTTAAAAAATTTTCTTATTAAAAAATTATTTTTTTAAGTCTAGGGGTATTCTTTTAAAGAACCTTTTCCTTATTCAATCGGACCTCATTTATGTATAGCCCCACTAATTTATACACTCATTTTAGTTTAATTTTTTAAAAATGTGGCTGGACTCTATAGGGAGCAGGGCTGTCCGCAAACGGAAAAAAATTTGTCCGCAATGAAAAAATTTTCAGCAGTTGCTATTGCGGACAGCCCTGATGGGGAAGAGAACTGTTTGAGCGTCTATATGCCATCCACCTTACTTTAGCATAAGATTTTTTTAACTCCAAAGAGTATACACCTAATTTAAATCAGATCATTTTACAATTTTTGTTAAAAAATTGTAAAATCTAGGAGTATTTTTAGGGAGGTGGAAGCGTCCACTTTGGGGAGCAGGTCAAATCACAGCCAAGCTTTTTTTTGGTTTTGGGTTTTTGAAAATTTTGACTTAATTTTTTAAATTTTAACGAAAAAAGCCTCTCATTATTGTCAGTTTTTTTAGTGCAGAACAAGAAAAAGATGAGGGAATTTCTGGTGATATTTGGTCAAATAATAACGGTCAAAAAGCCGAAAATAAAGATTGGGGTTTTTCAAAAAACACAAAATTAGAGCAAACAAAAGGAGAAGAAGGAGGGAATCCTTCAAATTATTCTTCAAAAAATTTTCAAAAATATACTAGAAAAGACAATTATCGTTTAACTGTTGCAACTGGTGCTAATGCTACAAATCTTTTTTTGGGAGGAGAAGGAAATAAATTCGATCGTCGTTCGCCTTCTTTTAATGCTGATAATAATTTTGAACAGTGTGTGGATGTTGTTTTACATTCTTCGTCGTTTCAGAGTTTTTTTTTTAATTTTTAAATCGGGGGATCTTTGGGGTGGATCTTTCTCTTTGGGATGGATTTTGAAGTAAGGAGGGGGAATGCAATGGTATTTGTGTAGTTTCCATCCCATAAGCCCTGCCCATTTCCTTCTCTTTTTTTCTATGGCTTTTTTATAATAAAAGTTACATCTGGGTCACAGATCTTGCCCGATAAATACCTAGCTCCGGATGGCTTATGGGATGGAAACTACACAAGTACTGGCGAATTTTTTGGCTTTAAAGAGAAGGGCCCGAGCCGCAAGCAAATAATTTAGAATTTTAGGGGGTGTTGTTCACTTTCGGTCATTTCCCTCCCAAAAATTTTTTTAATTTTCCTTTTTAAGTTTTTTGGCTTTAAAGGGTGGTCTACATTCGATTTGTAATTTTTTAAAAATTTTTCTGATTTTTAAATAAAATTTTTTGGGCAACCCAAAAGACCCTTCAATATTTTTAAATAAGAAAATATTATTTTTTATTAAGTAAATTATAAAAAAATTTTCAGACAATTTTGGCGGCCGTCCTCAACAGACTAACAATAATAACAACAAACCTTTCAATGTTCGTGATTTAAATTCTGGTAATGAAATTGGAAGGGAGAATGAAGTGCTGGTTAAAGGTTTGAATTTTTTTGTTATTTTTTTTTTAATTTTTTTCCGCCAACAATTAAAATCTTTTAAAATTTTAAAAAATTTTTTTGCCACTTAAAATTTTGTCACTAATGGGGTGGGGTTCTTCTCTTTTCTATATAACAAATTAAATTGTCTCTTCTTTCGCTTACGACCATACCGCGTTGAAAGCACGCCATCCCGTCCGATCTGGCAAGTTAAGCAACGCTGGGCCTCCTTAGTACTTGGAACGGAGACGTCCTGGGAATCGGGGGTGTCGTAAGCTTTTTTTGTTGTTGGGGGATTTTTCTAGGTAAAAGTTAAGGGGCTGAAATATTCAACTCTAAGCTGAAATTGAACAATAAAAAAAATTTTTTTTGTTTTTTTAAAGGTTATCCACCCAATTTCAACAAATACCAAATTGCTTCTTTATTTTCTCATTTTCGTCCATTAAATGTCCAATATATGGAAGGGGGAGAAACACTCGTTCAATTTGCTAATAAATTTCATGCTGTCCAAGTAATTGAGCAATATAATGGTCGTAAATATGAAGATGAAGGGTTTATTTTACAAGTGAATTTTGAAAATTTTTTTGGATTTTTTAAAATTTTTTGAAAAATTTCAAAATTAAAGGTTCGAGCAGCTGCAAAGGATGATCCAACACAAAAAATTGGGGCAGTCAAAACAAAATTGGCTAGTCTTCTTTTAATGGTTACAACTTCAAAAGCTGTTGGTGTAGATGAAAATACTTCTGTTACAAGTGAAGAAAATAAAGAAGGGTGGTGAGAAAAAAATTTTTTTGAAAGAAGGGGTATTTTTGAATATTTTTGATTATATTTAAACTGGTAATTTCAGCAAAATTATTTATTTTAAATGTTTTAATTTAAATTTATTTATTCAAGAATAAAAAATGACAATGAAAGGGATGTACACTTTACATAAAGGTTCCCATTAATCCTCCAACTCCCTTGATATTCCCTTTCAAAAATTTTAAGTCAAGGGTTAACGTGGAGGGTAGGTTAACTAACAAAGGTGTTTTATTACAGAATACAAAATTTTGTAATTAATAAATGTTAAATTCTTAAAATATTTTTAAAAAAGTTATAGGTATTCAAAAAGTTCTATAATTTTTAAAAAATTTCAGAAAATCAATTTTCAGGCCTGAAATGTCTCCTTTCCTTTCCATATCATTTACCAAAAAATTCCTGTCCATGAACACACACTTTTTCCCAAAATCCTTTTGTGTCCATGTTTGTTTTTGTGTTTGTTTGTGTTTGCCTCTCCTCGAAATCCTTGATATCCGAGTGAGGCTGAAAATATTTTTTATAGATTTAATAAAAGATAAAAGTGTCTTTGCTCTTTTTATTCGTTTAAATAAGGGGCGACAAAAAAATTTGGTACTTATTGGTTATCCCTAAGTAGTTTTTGCGGACATTTTTGCGGACTCATTTATGTACGAAAAGGTCAAAGGTTCTCCCTTCCTCGATTTCACTCAATTTTCTCTGTGGCATTTTTCAATGAGGGCATCAATAAAGAAAAGATTAATTTTAAATACAAATGACCGACTTTTAAATAAGTATACTACACGCAAATGGATGACGGGAAAATGAGGTGAAGGTCTTCCAAAATATAGACCAGACAAAACACAGTTTTGCCAATTCGGCCAAATTGGTCAGACAAAACAAAAATTGGTCCGGAAAATTGGTTCAGAAATAGGTCCAGACAAAAAATAGTTTTCTAAATTATGTTCTATTTTGTCCGTGGGATGTGCTTTCTTTGAAAATATCAGTCTATTTATGACATGAGTCATCAGCTTCTAAATCAGAACCTGTTAAAGTTGGGTGTATGTACCAGTATTGGTACATATTAACTCTCTTATTTCCAGTAAAGCTTGATACTTAAAATATTGATCCTGTTTTGTGTTGTTCATATTTGTTGACATTCAAAAAATTAATCTTTTCTTTATTGATGCCCTCATTGAAAAATGCCACAGAGAAAATTGAGTGAAATCGAGGAAGGGAGAACCTTTGACCTTTTCGTACATAAATGAGTCTGCATAAAATGTCCGCAAAAACTACTTAGGGATAACCAATAAGTACCAAAAATTTTTTTAATAAACACACCAAAAACCTATTACCAAAGCCAAGAGGACAATAATGGTCAAAGTTGATATTATTTTTATTAGGGCCGAGAGTAGTCTTAATACCTAAGTCCAAGTAAAACCACCCATGGGTTGAGGAAAAAGTTGGGTCGGGTTTCGGATCGAAAAGTCTTTGTTTCAGGTAATTCGTGACATTGTCTAAATAGACCTTCACAAAATATGAATCCTCTCTTAATTTCTATAACCCCAGGGAGCCTTTGCCTATCACAAAATTTTACATACTTAAAATCATCCCAAAATTGTCCTCCTTTTAATTTTGTTAAATATATTTACTTGAAAGATTTTGGAGGGAGAAAAGGATATATGTTTAAGGTTATAATATTATTGTTTTGGCTGATAAAAACACAAAAAAAAATTTTATATATTTAAATAAAAAAAGAGAAACAAACTCAGAATCCACGGATCCCGATTTTTTAAATTTTGATCCTTGAATCCTGAGCCATCCAAAACCACACACACAAATGCATTTTCCTTTTCCATTTTTGATATATTTTTTTCTTCTTCTTAAGTTAATAGTATGAACGGGAACGTGAACGGCTGCGGCTATAACTTCGGCTTCGAGAGCGACTATAACGTGGAGAGCCACGACGTGAACGAGAACGGCTACGCGTATATGAGCGGGAACGGCCACCACCATTATCCTCCTTTGAAAATAAAATTTTTGTTTTAAAGTGGGAATTTTGGTTAGAAAAATTCTAGAAAGGAAATTGTCAAAAATTAAAAAATATTTTTTTGTGGACAAGTTTTGCGGACAAAAGATTTTTTTGGATGTTTAAAAGAGAGCCAAGTCAAATGATATAAATATAAAAGCATAAAGGGGTACAATTTAAAAAAGATTAAAAGTCAATAGAGCGCCTAGCGCTTTTTGAAAATTAATCCGCAAAATTAATCCGCAAATATTCTTTGTCCGCAAAATTTCCTTGAAAATTTTTCTATCATTTAAACTTGCTAGAATAAGAAAGCCAAATCCATTTCCTAAATAACCCCTCCCTAAACACGTTAAAATATTTTTTTAAACTTACCTTAAGACGAATGTAAGAAATTTCACCCTAAAATAGAATGAGTTAATAATTTGAATAAAAAATTAAAAAAAACCTCGTGTGACTTAAATTTTGAATCATCCAATTTTTTGAGCGCATATCTCATATCATCATGGCGAGAGAATTCAACTACACCAGTTCCATCACGATAAACATCAGCATAAACAACATCTCCAGCCTTTTAAATTGGAGAAAAATAAGGAAAATGAATAGGCAAGAGTTGAACAGGTTTAAAGTGTCACACAAAATTGTGATGGAATGTTCATGCCTATACCAAGGATGGGCCCTGTCAAATTTTAAAAGCGGAAGGCGGAAGAAAATAAAAAAAGTAAGTAAACCGGAGACGGAAGCGATAATATTCCTGAATTCGTTTGGCCTCCCTTACCTATGCAGGTGCCTGAGCTACTGGGTCAACAACTTTTCCTTTCCCTCTTCTCCCTATAGATTGTTTAACCATTCCTAATAGGTAGACTTCCTTACAATGTAAGTCGATTCAAAATAAATCCAAAACCCTAACGACCTAGTTGTTACGGATTTAAAAACAACAAACCTCACGCATATGATCCTTCAAATCCTGCCAAGAACCAGAAGCAGGCAAACCAGTAACCATAACACGATAAAATCGGCCACGAGGAGGCTCCTTCCCAGAAAATCGACTGCCGCCTCCACCGCCATCTCTTCCTCCCCCTCCTCTACCACTGGGGCCAGTTCCACGAGGCGATTCAACACGAAGTCTGTAACCATCAAAATTGTAGCCATCCCTTCCTCTAATGGCGTCTTCTGCATCACGAGGGTCATCGAAATCGACCTTAAATGAATCAAAAATTTGATCAAAAATCGCTTACAAATGCAAAAGGAGGTCCTCGAACAGGTTTAGATTTTATATCAATGTAGGTAATCTTTCCATATTTTTGAAAAATATCTTCAATGTCCTTCTGTCTGATGTCCGGAGGCAAATTTCTAAATTACACAAATTAAGGAAGAAAAATAAAGTTAAAACAAACCCAACAAAAACACGTAATTCACGCTCTCTATAACTCATTTCTGGCTATTAGAAGTTATTTAATAAAAGAATAGTATAAGATTATCTAGAAAAAATCAAAAAAATTAATCAAGTAAACGAAAATCTTTGATAAAACTCGTTAAAAATTTGTCTGATTTCTATAAAAAAACTCTAACCGTCTCGATGACTCATAATTCTTTCGAACTTTTTTCTTTTTACCCCTAACGTCTCTTATTTTTATCTTTCGTCTCTCTTTTATGTCTCTCTGTTTACTGAAGATTTTCTTTAAAGATGACAGCTAAATTTAATTTTGGTAATTTTCATAATACTAAATTTTAGCTTAATTTTAAAATATCTAATTTTCAAAATATCCAGTCGAACAATATTGACAATTTTTTTAACTGTCATTCCTACTTTTTTATCACCTTGTTGTTTTTGTTAAAAATCTTTTTTTATTTTCAGATAATTATTAAATGGCTAACGTTGTCGAAGTCGCAATCGAAAAAATTGATGAAGTCAAGTCGAGACTTGGAAGGTTTTCTTTGGTTAATTTTTAATAAATTTATTTTTCGTTCTTCAGAACTTTGGGAGCTTCAATGCGTTTACGCGATTTAATTCGCCAAGTTCGTGCCGCTAGGACGGCGGCTGAAGAGCGTGCTGTTGTAGAACGAGAAAGTGCGAATATTCGAGACTTTTTTAGAGATGAGGACAATAAATACAAATGCAGGTTAATTTTTTTGGAGAGGACCAAACCTGGGTTTATAGGCCGAACCTAGGGTTTTTTTCTTTTTTGGTGAAAGCAGAGACCATATTCTATGGTAGAGACGGTATTTTTGAACAGTCTGGGCCTGTTCCTGAGTTCTGGGTTCGATTTATTGACATGGGCCGGATCTTTGGCTTGTAGTTCAGGAAAAACCCAGGCCCAGAAAAAACCTCAGGAAGGTCAAAAAATGCCTGGGCCTGGTCTATGGGTACAGGAAACCCCCCAGGCCCTGGTCCAGGCCGATCTCTAGTTTATGGGTATTGGCTCATGCCATATCATTGAATTAGCACGTAGCTCAGGTATCCAGGTCATTGGGCGCCTGAGCTCCATGCCTTGGTCAATAAACTAGTCCAGTATTTGGGGTCCGGAACCGATCGTTTTTGGACAGCCCATGCCCCAGTCTTTTCTAAAATTCCTCTACTAATTCTAAGAAATTTTTTAAAGAAATATGGCGAAACTTCTCTACATCCACATGCTCGGATATCAAGCCCATTTTGGTCAAGTAGAATGTATTAAACTTGTTGGCAGCAAAGAAAAGCGTTTTACTGACATTCGGATTGGTTATCTCGGTGCAATGCTTTTGTTGGATGAACGTTCGGAAATTCATTTGCTTGTTACAAATTGTTTGAAGAGGTTTTTTAGTCTTTTTCCTGCTTTTTTTGACTGTCCCGCTGTTTTTGTTCTGTACGGTTCCAAGTGTTTTTTGGTCAAACTTAACAGTAACTGGTTTAGGGACAGGTTTTACAGCCTCTTTGCACAAGGGGAATTTCGTACCGATGAACTATTTCATTTCAAGAACCACGGAAATCCTATAACCGATTCCTTAGAAAAATATTTTTTATTAGGGCTCATCGGCTCGGAACCGAACCGATGAGCAAAATTTTTCGGTTCCGGTACTTTCATTTTCCGGTCCAGTTCTTCGTTTTTTTGTATATCTGACAAGGGCGTATCCAAGCCCTCCTCCCCCCGAAATGGGGGATTAGGAGAAGGATGGTCGAAAAAGTACGGCCTTCGAATTTAAAAAAATTTTCGCCTGCGGCGCAAAAAATGGAAGACCCCTTGATATCTGAACCGACAACCTTCTATTCTTTTTAACTTTTTTAATTTTTTATTTTCTAGCCATTTAAACGACAATGACCAGTTCGTGGCAGGAATTGCTCTTTGCACTCTTGGCGCTATTTGTTCACCAGAAATGTGTAGAGATTTGGCTGGTGAAGCAGAAAAACTTTTATTGAAATCAACAAATACATATATTAAGAAAAAGGTTTTTTCTCTTAAATTTGTCTTTTTTTGGCCTCCTCCTGGCTTCGTCTCCCCATTTCCACTCCCTCCCTCTCTACTTTCCAACTAAAAAAATTTCAGACCCCGCTCATTTTTCCAATTTTATTTTTTAATTTTTTAGGCAGCTCTCTGTGCATTCCGAATTGTTAGAAAAGTTCCAGATCTTATTGAAATGTTTATTTCAAGTACTCGTTCCCTTCTAAACGAAAAACATCATGGCGTTCTAATTGCTGGAGTAACTCTTGTAACTGAAATGTGTGAACTTTCTTCTGATGTTAGAATTCATTTTAAAAAGGTTTTTTTAATTTTTTATTTTTTCTCTAGAATGGTTTAATGGGGTTAATTGAGTAAACTTGGTCTTTTTGACTGACATAAGGGGTGGTTTTGTTAAGGGGCTGTTTTAACTAATTGTAAGACTTAAAGACCTAAAAAAGGTTTGTTAATCTACACAATAAGGTTGGCGGATAGTTGGAAATCTTTGGATATCTGGATCCTGTATTCGAACCTTGAATTTTCGGGTATTCGGCTTTTTTTCGGATATCCGGATCCGCCAATCTTACTACACAAGTATTGATTTTTACACTTGATTTTTATAAGAGATGATTACGCGGATTAATTTTTTAACTTTCCTATATTTTTTAAAAATATCCGCAAAACCATTTGCAGACATTTTCTATATTTTTCCCCCAAAAAAATTTTTTTCCCCCAAAAATTATTTTTGGCTAATTCAAAAGCTGAATGATTTTTAATCCATTTTTCAAATTTAATTTTTTCAATTTTCACAGATGGTTCCAAACTTGGTACGAATTTTAAAAAATTTATTGATGACTGGTTATTCACCTGAACACGATGTTTCAAGCATTAGCGATCCTTTTCTTCAAGTGAAAATAATTAAACTTTTGCGAATTCTTGGAAAAGATGACCCGAAAGCAAGTGAAGAAATGAACGATATTTTGGCTCAAGTTGCAACAAATACAGAGACGTCTAAAAATGTGGGGAATGCAATACTTTATGAAACTGTGTTGACTATTATGGAAATTAAAAGGTTTTTTTGAGAGTTAAATATTTTGGAAGGGATTTAATTTGGAAAAAATTTGATTTTTTTAAGTTTGCTGACAAAAATTTATTGCGGATTTTTATTTCTGCAGATGGAAAAATTATTTTTCCGAACATTGTTTTTTTTGCGGATTTTTATTTTTGCAAACGGAAAATTATTCATTTTTCGGACATTTGTTTTTTGCGGAATAAAATTATTCTTGCGGACACAAGTTTTGAGATTATCCGCATTTCAAAAAATATCCGCAAAATATGTCCATAACTTTTTGCGAATTTTTATTACAAGCTTAAAAGTTCTTTTTCTAGTGAAAGCGGACTTCGAGTTCTTGCTGTAAATATTCTTGGACGTTTTCTTCTAAATCCAGACAAAAACATTCGTTATGTAGCACTAAATACATTACTTAAAACTGTGGGAGTTGATTTTCAAGCTGTTCAACGTCATCGTACAACTGTTGTGGATTGTTTAAAGGATGGGGATGTTTCTATTAAAAAGTTTGTTTTTTTAATTCGATAGGGGTTGTAGCCTTGCCGATTTCAAATTTTTAGCTGGTTTGTATATTTTGGTGTAGTGGGAAAGGTTTGGGTTCTGGGGTGTAATAGGTTGGGGTTCGAACCCTTTTGAGGGATTTTTATTTTATTTGCATTGTTTTATTATTTTTAAGCAATCCGGCGATTTTTGAACCAGAATAGAGCCGAAGGGGAATTTTTCCAAGATGACATTTGATCCCATTTTATTTTTTAAAATATTTTTTCCTTTTTTTTCCAGGCGTGCATTAGATTTATGTTTTGCTCTAATTAATCAAACAAATATTGTAAGCATGTCAAAAGAAATTATAATATTCTTGGAGACTGCAGACTCTGAATTTAAAGCTGAATGTGCTTCAAAAATGTATATAGCAACGGAGCGTTTTTCTCCAAGTATTGTTTGGCATTTGGATACAATGATTAATGTTTTACAATTGGTATATGAGATTTTAATTTTTAAGAAATTTGTTGGTTTGGTGGGACATAGGTATTCTTGTAATTCCTTCAAAATTCGTATAGGGGAAATTTTTACTAAAATGTCATAAATTCCAATTGGCCAGCAGGTCAATTTACTAAAATGTCCAATAGCAAAAGTTGCCGAAATAATTTCGTTTTTGACATGAAAATTCGGAATTTCTTCAAAATGTCCCTTGGGTTAAATTTAGCCATAATGTCAACTTGCCAAAATGTCCTATTAAATTTTTTTTCCTCAATTTTTCTTTTAAAAAGGCTGGTAATTATGTCCCCGATGAAGTTGTTAGTGCAATGATTCAATTAATTTCTTCACATTCTGAACTTCAAACTTATGCAACAATACAACTATTTCATGCTGCTGAACGTGAACAAATTGTTTTGACAGCACAACCACTTTTACAAGTTGCTTTTTGGTGTATAGGGGAATTTGGTGATTTGTTGATTATTGGAGGTGAAGAGGAGACACATAAAAAGGTTTTTTTATTTTTATTTTGAGAAATTTTTGCGAACTTTAAAAAAATATTTTTGAACTTGCGGATAAAAGTTGCGGACTTTTTGAATAATTTATTAACTTGGGGAAAACTTTTCGTATTTGAAAAAAATTTCCTAGCTTGAGGATAAAATTTGCGGACATTTTACGAAATATTTTTCAACTTGCAGACAAAAAGTTGCGAATTTTTTAAAATTTCCTAACTTGCGGATAAACTTTGCGGACATTTTACAAAATATTTATAACTTGCGGACTTTTTTGAAATTTTTTTTAATTGTCAAAGAACTTGCGAACCTAAAAAAATTCCCAAATTGCGGATAAACTCTGCAGACATTTTACGAAATATTTTGAATTTGCGGACTTTAAAATACCCTCCACTTTTTAAATTAAAAGATTTTTCCCTCTTTTTTCAGATTGAAGAAGACGAAGTAGTCAGAATTTTTGAACGTTTAATGCCTTCTTCACAAATGTCTATATCAAGCAGAGAATTCGGATTAACAGCTTTAGCTAAATTATTTACTCGATTTGAAAATTGTTCAGAACGTATTCATGCACTTGTTAGACAATACTCTGCAAATATGAATTTGGAATTACAACAACGTTCTGTTGAATATGCAAGGCTTTTATTAAAAAATGATTTGAGGTTTTTTTTTAATTTTTTTTAGAAAAATTTTTTGCGGATTTTTTTGAGTCCGCAAAAAAGTTTTTCATCTATGTCCGCAAAAAAAAGTCCGCGAACATCGCATCCACTCCTTCTGTTCTGAATCCCAAATTATGAGATTCTTATGGAGATTCGACCATTTTTCATATTCTAAAATTTCTTTTGAGATTCTTCCCTGAGATTTCATGTGGGTTTCTTATTTTTAAAGATTCGACTATTTGTAGATTCTAATTGAAATTTTTATTCTTAGATTCCGTGCCGGACTTATTGTTAGCTATTCCGGTCTAAAAAATTTTCTTCCTTCTGTTCTTTCATTTCGTTCCCTTGGTTTTATCTTCTTATTAATCTTTTCAGTTAGCTTTCATTTTTTTGCGGTTAACTTTTTGCGATAATATTAAAATTTCTATTCAAAAATTTTCCCCTCAACAGATTTGGATTATTAGAAAGAATGCCAGCTATTGAACGTAATGCTTTGCATACAGCAGCACAGCCAATAGAAGAATCCCCTTTAAGTAATGATGACCAATTACAAAAACAGAAACAACAACAAAAAGCAGCAGCACCAGAAGTTGTTGATTTGTTAGGTTTGGGTGATATATTGTTTGGAGGTGGAGGAGTTGATAATAATAATACTATTAATGGACAACAAAGAAATGGTAAAAATTTTTTATTAGTCTTTTGTTGAATTTTTTTGTGGACTTAATCCACATTATTTTTAAGATCCGGGGTAATTTAATAGAATTGAATTTTTGCGTAATCCGCAAAAAAATTTTGCGGATTCCGCAATTTTTGTCGGTTCTTGTTTCAGATTTTTTGCAGATTGTCCGCAAGAATGTTTTGCGGACTTTGTCCGCAAGAACGTTTTTGCAGATTTTGTCCGCAAGAACGTTTTTGCAGATTTTGTCCGCATGAATGTTTTTGCGGATTTGTCCGCAGAATGTTTTTCCCTGATTTTGTCCGCAAGTATTTTTGCGGATTTTATCCGCACTTGTGTTTTCCTCATTTTCCAAAGAATGGAACTCGATTCTTATTCCCCTTGTAACGAAACAAGTTTTAAATTGTTGTTTCGAGTTTACGTAAAAAGACTTAAAAAATGTTGTTTTTTAAGGTAGCAATTTAATTACCGATTTAATATCTAATGGAGCTTCAACTCAAAAACAACCTGTTGTTCCTTCACAAAATGGAATTTTAGACTTACAAGATATTCTATCTCAATCACAACACCCTAAAAGGACTGATGATTTAAATAATTTATTTGATATGGGATCAAGGTTTTTTTATAATTTTTATAAATTTTGTTTTAAAATCCGCAAAAAATTATTGCGGACTCCGCTAAAAATTTGCGGACTCCGCAAAAAATTTGCGGATTTTTTAAAATATTTTTCTATAAATTTTTAAAACTTTCCAAAAATTTTCCTTTTTAAGTGAACAATCTCACGAATCCTTTGGCGGCCAAATAATTTTTAATCAAAGAGGACTAGAAATTCAATTACACGTTGAAAAGGTTTTTGATTCAAATAATGAAGCTTCATTACGTTTTGTTTCTACAAATAATAATCCAACATTGATAGAGGATTTTAATTTGGCTGTGGCTGTTATAAAAGTATGGGGAAGATTTTTTAATTTAATTTTAAAAAATTTTTGCGGACTCCGAAAATTTTTTTGCGGATGTCCACAAATTTTTTGCGGATGTCCGCAAAAATTTTTGCAGACATTTTTTTACTTTTTCCAAAATAATTTTTTTAATTTAAAAGACTTATCAAATTGAATTACTTCCTGCTAGTACAACAAGATTAGAACCAAACGGACTTTCTACTGCAACACAAATTGCAAGATTAAGAAGAATAGCTTTATCAGCCAAATCGGTAAATTAATGATAAATAATTTTTGAATCTTTTTTCTCTTTTTCAGCCCCGTTTACGACTAAAAATTGGATATACTATTGGAGGCATTCCCCATTCATTGGATGCAGAAGTGAATACAATTAATGGTCTTTCTTAAATAAAATTAAGGAGAAAATTTTAAAAGGGACACTAGAGTCTGAAAAAAGTAAAAAGTTGATAAGGCTCTATAAAAACATGCAATGTCGTTAAGTATAGAGGTCACTATATTTTTTGCTTGGTTATCGAGAAATTTGACTTGAAAATTTTTTGAAATCAGAAAAAATGTCGAATTTACACAGATTGCATGTTTTTTCTCTGTCTCTACACTAGACTATGATTTAAAAATTATTCTTTCCAATTTTTGTTGATACAATTTTAATTACTTCAAACACACACATATTTCGCAAAACATATATTTTAATATTCCAAAAAAATATTTTTATATATTTTATTTTATAGCTTAATTCGGCACTTAAATATATTCCGCTTTTTAACTTAAAAATAATGGAAAATTCCCCCCAAACTGTAAAACTGGTTGTGAAAATAAATTAATTAATAAAAATCAGAATTTTTAAAAATGTTTTTTAAATAAAATTCTGATTTTGTAAATTCCAAGAGTCCGCAAAAGTCAAAAAAAGTCCGCAAATTTTTTGCGGACTTTTTTTGCGGACTCCGCAAATTTTTTGCGGACTTTTTCTGAGTTTTTTTTTTAATTTTCCGATTTTTAATAAATTCTGATTTTCTGATTCCTAATATATTTTATATATTAAGCATTTCTTTCTATATTTTTCTCTTTAATTCCAATATATTTTTTCCTTTCATTAAAGAATTTACATATTTTTTCCGATTCGTCCTTTGATTTTTTTCAGGAATTTTCCTTTTCAATTTAACTTTATTGACTCGCCCTTGGTTTTTAAATTAATTTTCTGATCGATCTTATAGGGAGAGACTTGAGAAATTTTTTAAATTTCTCTTATTTTTTGTTGTGCGCCAAAAACGTCAAAAAATCCAAATTGGCGTTTTATCTAGAGCCCGGAATTTCGTACCGTACCGTATTCCGTACCGTACTACCGTATAATACCGATATCGATAAATACCGATGAAATTCAAAATTCTTCCGTACCGTATTACCGATACGGAATACCGAAAAATACCGATACCGATAAATACCGATAAAAATTTATCGGTATTCCGTACCGTATTCAAAAAATAAATTTATTAAAAAATAATTATTTTTATATATCAATTTGTGGGGATAAAGTCGTATATTGAGGATTTCCAGGGATTAATATGGATTTGGAGGGATATCTGAGTATTTAGAGGGTTTTAGATGGATTTTGAGGGATTAAGGAGATTTGAATGATATCTAACACTAAGGATTAAGGGTAATATTGTTAGATTTGTACTATTAATGTGATCCGGAGATATGATGATTGTGGTGGATATAAGTGGATTAAAGGGGATTTAAAAAATATCAGTAGATTAACCGGAGAATTCCTCCTTACTCTTCATAATCAGCAATTAACCTTCAAATACCCCAAAGCCAGATATCTCTTAATCCCTAGAATTGAACGTAACCTCTAAATAGTCAATTAAATGCACTTAATCCACACAAATTTACTTAATCATCACAAACCCTCTCGATATATCTGTTAATCCGCTAAATCCATTCTTAAATACTCATAATCCCTCTATATCAGTCCATCGGACCTCAACACTTTCAGCGCCGCAGACGAAAATCTTGTGAAATTTTCGAAAACCAAGAGAAATATTTCTTAAGTTTTCTGATTTTGAAATTTTGACTTCTAAATCTTGAGAATTTGCAAGTCCAAGAAGTTGTAGTTCATCCTATTATAGCGCCGCAGGCAAAAATTGTGAGAATTTTCAATGGCCAAGAAGCCTTTTTTCCCTTAAAATATAATAAAATTTTGAAAAATTTCATCGGTCGGTATCATCGGTATTTTAGTTTTTCCGTACCGTATTACCGATACGGAATACCGAAAAATACCGATACCGATAAATACCGATAAACTTGAAAATTTTATTGGTCGGTATTCCGTATCGTACTACCGATACGGAATACCGATAAATACCGAAAAATACGGCCGTAGTACGGTACGGTCCGGGCTCTAGTTTTATCATTATATTGCGCACGGTCATGAACAAAGCAACTATTTAATTATTTTCTTAATTTTATAAATAAAAATTAGTTTTGTACACCTGTTGATAAAAATATTTCTTCTTAAAAAAATTTTTTTTTGTATTTTTAAACGTTAAAAAAAGCTTTCCGTTTAAATTTATTTTTAATTTTTGTTTTAAGCAATTTTTAAATAATTTTTAGAATTTTTTCAATGTTTTCTTTTTCAAGGAATTTTACGAAAAATTATTTTTTAGTCAAAAATAAATTTTTAAATAATAATTTTATTGGAACGTTCTCAACAATGACGCAATCTGATATTTTACAAACAGAATCGATTACTAAATTGTTACGAGGACAATTTCCAGAAGAAAGTGGGGATGTGGTTAATGTAGAGGATATTTCTGGTAATTTTTAAATTTTATTCTGGTACAAAATCAGAATTCTGGTTTTTAAAGTCAGAACTCAGAAATTCTGATTTTAAAATTCTGATTTTTGAAATTCATAACTCAGAAATTCTGATTTACCAAAATTCTGGTTCCCAAAGTTAGAATTATTTTTTTCGAAATTCTGGTTTTTCTGATTTTTAAATTCTGGCCCCTAAAAATCAGAAGTGACAGAAATTCTGATAATTAGAATTGTAGTTCTGATTTTTAATCAGAATTTTCAACACTAAAAAATCAGAATTGTCTCAGAAATTCTAATTTTTGAATTCTGATTTTTTAAATTCTGATCTATAAAATCAGAATTATTTTTTGAGATTGGTCTTTCAAATTCTGATTTTTTAAAATTCTGGTCCCTAAAATCAGAATTATTTTTGAAATTGATCTTTCAAATTCTGATTTTTAAAAAATTTAAAAATCAGAATTTCTGATTTTTAAACTACCCCAATATTCTGATAAAATAAAATTCAGGTGGTTGTGGAGCAATGTTTAGAGTTCGTGTAGAATCTACCCAATTCGAAGGAATGCCTAAAGTCAAACAACACAAATTAATTAATGAGGTGCTCAAGAAAGAAATTAAAGAAATGCATGGAATTGTTATTGAAACAAAAACTTTGGAAAAGAAATAAATTTTAATTTAATTTTTAACAAAAAATGTTGTTAAATTGATATAAATGAGAGAAGAGATCGATTTTAAATAAAATTTATAGAAATTATTTTGTTCATTCTATGGGTTATCCCATATCGAGATGGGGATGTTATGTCTAAAAGCCAGAGCTGTCCGCAAAAAATTTTTGATGCGGATAATTCGCAAGTTTATTTAAAAAGGTCCGCAATTGGAAAAAATCCGCAAGTCTACGCAAAAATAATTTTTTGATGCGGATAATTCGCAAGTTAATTTTAAAATCTGCAAGTTTATTAAAAAGTCCGCAAATTAAAAATGTCCGCATTTTTAGAAAAAATCCGCAAGTCTAAAATTAATCCGCAATTTGAAGTTGCGGACAATTCTGGCTACTGCTTGGCATAACAGAGTCATAAGAAAGATTACAATATAGATGGGATATAGAGGTGGGATATATTAGAGGGGGGATATATGAGAGATTATCAAGTCAATATGTTAAAGTAGGAGATTCTCAGTCTCAAACGGGATAGAAATTAGAAAAAAAATTTTTTTTAATTTACCGGAAATGTTTAAACCCAAAATTACTTTCTGTCCTCCAAAATGGCAAACAACAACTTGAAGGCTTCAACTTTTTCAGTCTAGAGTTCATTTTTGTCTTCAAATTTCCAACAAATCCACCCCCACCAGCACTTCCCTGCCTCCCCCCAATTTCATTTTTGCCTTCCTCCAAATTTTTAAAATTATTATTTGCTTCAAAATTGGTCAATAAATTGTCTTCATCATCTGACGAATCTATTATAATTATTCCTTCTTCATTTTGTATATTATCCAACTCCATTTCGTCTGTTAACAATGAATCACCTCTTTTTGTATTTTTTACGCGAAATGTCCCTATAAATAAATTTTATTTAAACTAATTTTAAAGAGACCCCTTCAGTTGCCATGATAGCTCAGTCGGGAGAGCGTTAGACTGAAGATCTAAATGTCCCCGGTTCGATCCCGGGTCGTGGCATTTCTTTTTAAATTGATATTTTTGGTCTTAAAAATTCTTTAAAAAATTTTTTAGAGGCTTAAAAATTTCAGAAAATTTTTCAAAAAATTTTTTTTTAATTTTCTTAACCCTTAAAAAAATTTTTTTAAATAACCTCCACTTCCTATTGACTTTTTTCGTTGTCCTTTATTAAATCCATTCCTTTGCTGCCCTTCTTTCTCCAATAAACACGTGGAAGAACAATTATTTGTTGTTAATTTTGTTGGTTGCATTGTTGAATATTGTTCCTCCTCATCACCTAAATTAAAAAAATTATTTAAAAATTTTCTGGAGAGCAATTAGTCTGAAATTTCAAGGGCGATGCTTGCCTTATAAGGGAAGACATAGACTCTAACGGACCCTTAGCCCAAATAATTTTAAAAAATAAATTTTAAAAAATAACCTCTATTAGTAATTAATAAGCATTTTTGTTCTCGATTATTATCCACAGATTTGGACATTAATTCCATTTGGTATTTGACATTTGCAATCATTTTTAACCTGAATTATTATTTAAAAATACAGCAAAAATAATGAAAAAAAATAAAAAATCGAAGCAAAACGATTTTTAAAAAATAAAAAAAATTTTTTTCCATAGAAAATTTTATCGCAAAATTTTTTAAAAAATCTGAAAAAAATGTTAAAAGTAAATTTTGAACAAAAAAGATTAAAATTTTTTTCCAAATACTTCCCTCATTTTCTCTCCTTCCCTTCATTTTTCCCCATTAAAACATTTCTTGAGCGGCTCCCAATCCTTGTAATATTCTTCATCTACATTCTCTTTATTCGCCCAATCAGTAACTACCAAACTTAGAGAACTCTCAAACATGAACGCCTTAAAAAAATTCCATAAAATTTAAAAATTTTTTAAAAATTTGTTCCCTTTTCGGCGCAGAAAAATTTTAGGCGCGAACCTATAAAACTACCAAAAATTAAAAAGATAAAAAGGATAAATTTTGCCCAAAGATAGGCAGTAGTATTGCCTAACAAATCTAAAATTTTCAGAGTTTTAGCTTTATTATCTCAAGATTTATGGCTGGGGATATCAGAAAATTGAGGCGTTTTTAAAGAAAATTGGCAAGTTTTTCAACTTCAACTTTATAAATATTTAAACGAAAATTCTGAAATTTCTCCACGTGTTAGCTAAATGTGTCTAGGATAATCAAGGAAAATTCCAAGCCTCTAGGTACTCATCTGATAGTGAGTTATAAACCCTCACGCCTAGACGTTACCGCGCCGAAACTACCCTTTGAAAAATTAATTTTGCTCTCACGCTTAGACTTTACCGCGCCCAAATGTACCTCAGAAAAATTAATTTTAAACCCACACCGCAAGCCTAGTAGTTCCAAAAAAATTAATTTTAAACACGCCAAAACGTAAACCTTCCCGCGCCGAAGTGTCTCCTCCGAAAAATTAATTTTAAAGAAAATTTCCCATTTAAAGGAAAAATTTTTATAAATTAAATTAATAATAAACACAAAAACTAACCATAGTTCCTTCAGCAATCTTCAATGGCCCCAATTTATCATTACTTGCATTTTCAAAACATTTAGCATCAGGCCCATGTGGAGTCATTATTGAATGAAGAGAAGCACCACCAGGACAAAAACCTCCTTCTTTTGCTTCATATTTACCAACTATAAGACCCATAAATTCACTCATACAATTGCCTAAAAATAAATAAAAGGATGGATAATTGTGTGGGAAATTTTGGGGGGAAAGGGAGAAGAGAAAAGAAAGAGAAACGAAAATTAACATAAATAAATTTAGGTTTGTAGTTCAAAAATTAAAATTAAAAAAATTTTTTTTGGCAATCTCCCCTACCCTATTTTTAGACAATATATTCTCAAAAATGTTTAATAGTTAATCCTGGAAGCTAAGTCCGTTTAGAGTTACTAATTAAAAAAATCCGAGAATCCGCAAAATTTTAATTGCGGACAAAGAATTGCGGATTTTTTTAGTGGACTTTGTGGATAAATAATAAATAAATCAAAAAAAAGAACTAACGATGAAAATAAGGAGGACGAAACGTCCCTTCAGCAACAGCCCACCGAGGCGGGAAAATAACAAAATCGGCAAGAGCAACACCTTGGTAGATGCCTGGAGCGGTCAGAACAGTAAATATGCTTGGGTCCTGAAATATTTTAAAACAATTTAAACCCAGTAAGCCCAAAAAATGAACAGAAAATAAAAAACTAAAACGCATAAAGTTGCGGATTTGTCCGCAAAAAAGTTGCGGACAATAAAATTTTGTCCGCAAAATTTTTGCGGACACATTCTTGCGAACAAAGAATTTACTAAAATAAAAAAAGCTTACACAATGGTCGTAGCTAACAGTATTTATCGTCATAAAATGGCGCAAATTATACTTAAAAGGAACATAATTTCCTCTCCAAGCTACCACATCAAAAGGAGAATGTTCCTATAAAAATTAAAAAAAAATTAATTTAATTTTCTAAATTAAAAAAAAACCTGTTTGGCTTCAAACAACAATCCTTGAAATTTGTTAATTATTTTAAATGGAACGTCGTTTTCTTCAAACCAAGCTGTGGGTATTTGAAAACAATGAGGATTTGCTAATCTAGGAAATTAGAAAAAAATTAGAAATTTTGCGGATTTTTTTAAAATCCGCAAATTTTTTTGCGGATTTTAAAAAATCCGCAATTTTTTGCGGATTAAAAAAATCCGCAAATTTAGTCCGCAATTATTTTTCCCAAATTTTAAACACGAAAAATGGCACCGATCTAATTTATGAGGCCAATAAAGCTTTATAGGTCTACCAAAAACTTATTTTAGTCCAAACTCGAGTTTATGAGCCACCAATGAATTGCGGACTAAATTTGCGGATTTTTGTAAAATCAAAAAAATAACCCATTAGCGCCGACAGGACCAAGCTCTGGCAATTGAAAATGAGAACCGAAAACCTTAAACAGAAAAATTTTAAAAAATCAGACAAATAAAAACCTCCAGAAGATATCCACGAGAAGGCCCTTCAACAGGATCAACACTAAAACGAATGCCTTGAGGGATGACAGCAATTCTATAAAAAAAAATTAAATTTTAAATTTATCGAAACAAAAAAATTTTTACTCTTGTGGTTCAATCTCCATTTTTCCAAATTCCGTAATAATAAGCAATGTGCCGTGTTGTGGAACTGCAGAGGGGAAAATTAAAAAAATTTTTAAATTCGGTTTGTCTCATGAATAGGGTTGTCTTATCATCAGAAAGTTTCAGTTCGGTTTATCGGTTCGCTTTCAATAAACCGAAGAAGTTGGTGAAACCGACAACCATACTCGCAAATTACAAGTGAAATTCTTTTATTTTGGTGGGTAGATTTGGTGAATATTTTTGTGGATACCGTTAACCTTAACCGTGAAGCTTTTTTAAGCTTCAGTTTTGGGCTGTTTGGTCAGTTCTCAATTCACTCAAAATTTACGAGTAAGGTTGTCGGTTCCTAGAAAATCCTCGGATATTCGAAATCGAGGCGAAAAGCCGAACCGAAAAATCCTAGGTTCTCCGGTGTAGTTCAAAACCAATACCCCTTTACGTGAGTATCACATGCCAAGGATCCTACCAACAAAAACCAAAATTCCCGATTTTCTGGACCTTTAGGGAATTGGAAAGGCAGGATCCCTGTTACATGCAATCAATTATTTCTTTATTAAAATTTTGGACAAAAATTTAATAAAAAAATCAAATAAAAATCAAAAAATACCAATTAACATATCCCCATCAGCATTCTGAAAAGCTTTGTCCTCCATTGGAGCATTACATGAATACAAATGAATTGCAAGTCCATTACGAATTTGAGGCGAACCAGCACCACAAACAGTGTAAAAACTCTGATTTTTTTAAATTTTAAATTTAAAAAAAAAATTAAAAAAATAAACCTCAACAAAATTAACTTTAACAGCCCCATTTTGAGTTTTATTAAGCAACGGATGTGGTTTCCAGCGGATTTGGTTTGGATTTGGTTCAAAACGAGCAAAATTGTTGGTGAATCTGTAAATTGAAAAGAAAATTATTTTATTTATTTTCGAAGGGTTTTTGAATCTGAATTGAAACTATAAGGCAAGCCAGGGTCTTAAAAACAATTTCTGGTAATTTAAAAAAATTTTTCTGGAGAAAAAAAATTAATTTTAGTGAAACAAGAAATAAACCAGAAAAAATTAAACCAAAAAGCCTAGCCCAGAAATTGCACTTCCGTTTCTGACTCTGAATTATTCTATTTATAAGATTTGGACGTTTTTAGAGTTGATGTTTTTAGAAAAACTCAAAAAAACTAAAAAATTTTGTAAAAATAAATTCTCGTGGATTTTTGAGAATGTCCCCTAGGAATATTCACCACAAAACTGATATGAACTCGGAAACAGGAAAAAATTTAAATCGAAAAACCACCCTAGAAACTACCCTAATCCTAAATTTTGAATAATAAACCCAAAATAATTAAAAAAAAAACCTCTCATCATTAATTCCGCGAAAACGTTCAAAAGGTTTGTGTTGCACAGATGGTCGAATACGGTAAAGCCATGTCCTTTTGTTCAAAGCACGAGGACAAGTGAAGGCTGTCCCCGAAAGTTGTTCAGCATAGAGACCGTATGGACATTTTTGCGGATTATTCAAAACAGGTGGAAGAGCATCAACAAAATCTGGATGAGTGCTGTGTTGTTCAAAACCATTCAAATAAGTGAGAGGCTGAAAATAAAAAAAAAATAAAATTGAAGTTAAAAAATTAAATAAAATAAAAAATAAAGGAAAGAAAAATGAGAAATGATCAATAAAAATTATTTTAAAGCCTCTGACAGTCCTTTTCTTCGTAAAAAAAGAAAAATAAAAACAATTACCCACGAAAGGACTCGAACCTTTCACCTACACCCAGCCAAAACTAGCAATTTTCCAACTCAGCCAAACAACTCGATTAAAAAAAAGATTATTTTTTGAGTTAAATCTAGGTGTTAAAAACTCATCTAACCTGCTTATTTGCAGTCATATTTTAAATAAAATTTTTATTAAAAAAATTTTTAAAGGGTTTTTATTTTAATTATATTAATGAAAGGGGGGAAAATTAATTTAATAGAAATGATTTTTCTTTTACCTAAAATTTTTTTCTTTTCGTTGTTGTTGTGTGTGAACTTTCAACGAAAACACCCCCCCCCCCCCAATCGTCAGTGTGATGACAACGACGAAAACCACACTTTTAATCGCGTTAATCAATCAAAACGTATAAGAAAAAGAACCTTATAAATGGAATAATTGTATAAATTAATTTTCTATTTGATTTGGATTTTTAGAAGCAAGGAAATTTTTAGAAAATTAATTTAAAAATACAGAAAAATTAGTAAAAATATAGAGTCACATAAAATTGCATATGGGAAATGTGGGATAAAAGGGAGAAAAAATTTTTTTGAAGCTTCAGAAAATTTTTGGAAATTTTTTTGAAAAATTTTTCCAAAAATTTTTAAAAACATCCAATCCAAAAAATTAATCAACTCTCCATCAGAATAAATTTAAATAAATTTTTGTAGTGAAAAAAGTGACGAAAAGTGAAGATGGAAACGTGGGGGAGAAAACAGAGAAAAAATTTTATTGAAGCGAATTTTATAGAAAAAAATTTTTTGAAGCTTCAGAAATTTTAAAAACATCCAAAAAATTAACCCAACTCAGTCAGAATAAAATTTAAATAAATTTTTAGTGAAAAAAGTGACGAAAAGTGAAGGGAAGGAAAGTGCATGTGGGAAATGTGGGAGGAAAAAAGGAAAGAAAAAAAAAATAAAAAATAAATTGTACTATTCTCTCAACTTAAAAATTGGTTTTAAAAGCAAAAAAAAGCTTTAGAAAAAAAAAGCAAAAAAAAATTTTTCATTCCATAGGGGAAAATGAATGGCTTTTTAAAAAAGAAAATTTCTGAGACGTTGAAACTAAGGGCTTTTCTTTTCTTTCCCTATTTTTTCTGTTTAAAGCGCCCCTTTTTAAAGTTAAAAGGGTTGTTTATGCATCATTAGACAGGCAATTATGTGTTTATTTATTTAAATTTTTTTTTATTTTTAAATAACTACTTTTAAGATGGAAAAACAGGGAATCTTAAATAAAAACAGAAGCTCCCCCATGAAATAAAAAACTAAGGATTTTAGGGAAAGGAGGATGGCAGAACCCTAAATTGTTAAAAATGAAACAAAAATTTAATGATATAAATTCCTAAGCTTTCAACTTATCAGCAAACGACTCATAACAAAAATACGTAGTCGTTAAAGACAACTTAAGTCCACTTTGGCCGGTTAAATTTACTTTGAAAAAATTTTTAGTTGAAACGCCGGTACTTTATTCATATGCCACCCCCCTGAGTCTCTGATTATTTTTCCTTTTTTACTGTCAATCATTAAGTTCCCTCAAATATTTAGGTAAAAAACAAGCTATTAGGAAGGAAATGCCAAATTAAGCCCGGACAGAGTCAACTTAAACGTCGATAGAAAACGGAATTTTAATTAATTTATAGTAAACCTTTAAAGTCGATGCACAAACATGACGAGAAAACGCAGCTACAGTGCGAAATAGCACGTGACATTTTAAACAATATTTCTAAAAAAAATTTTTTTAGGAGATTTAGAAGTTTATTGAAAAATACTTTCCAGTAGTTAAACACAGTTGTTCTTCCTACAGAGCAACGACTTGCCGTTTTATTATAAGAAAGGCGTCCCTGGTAGGACAAAACTTTTTTGAGTTGTTTATTATTTAAAGGCGGCGGCATGATTCTTTTGTTATTAAAATCAACTAGAATAATATTATTATAGAAAAAAGGGTTCTTCTCGGTTATGCTCATAAATATGGTACACCCCAACTTACCGCGAGCCCAACTTACCGCAGAGCTATAACTTTGTTCAAGATTGTCGAATCCGGACGCCCTGGTATGGTTCGATTCAGCTCGTCGAGATGCATCGAACCATACCAGGGCGTCCGGATTCGATAATTTTGAACAAAGTTATAGCTCGGCGGTACTTTGGCCTGCTACCCATAAAAATCCGCAACTACTTTTTTGTTGGACTAGAAATCATTTCTCTCAAGAAGAGACGCAATGCCGGAGTAGCGAGAAGGGAAAATTATAAAGAAAAGCAACTTTAACCTTGAACAATAGTTGGTGAGAACAATAGTTGCAGATTTTTGTGAGCACAACCAAAAGAACCCGGAAAAAATTTTTTTAGAAAAATGCGGACAAAATTTGCGGACAAAAAGTAAAAATAAAAAATATTGAAGGTTGTTGAAAAACCAATGAAAAACCCAATCAAAGCAAAATAAAAACAAAGTTTATTTCTTAAATATTGAGATATATTTTTTGCGACTGGAGAGATCAATTTAAACAATAAAATATTAGAGGGAAATCATATTTGAGGGAACTAACATCAAAAAATAATTTTCTTTTCCTTTTCTTTATTTAATTCAAAACCTCTTATTTCGCCTTATTTGCAGCATGCATAGCCTGATCCTTGTTGAGAAGTGCACGGTGAATATGTGGAATGACACCGCCTCCAGCTACAGTCGCTCCTCTAGTCACCAACAAATCCAACTGAAATTTTAAAGGAAAATATTTTTAAAGGGAAAAGAAATTAGGAAAACTAAAACAAAGAGAAGTCCACACCCACGCTCTCCTAGAAACCCAAACACTAGAATATTACTAAAGGGTGTTACTAGGTTTGTGAAGCGGCCAAACTTTCGCGAGTTCACCCACCGCAAAATCAGTTTTTTCATAGACCTGCAGTCGGTCAGGTCACACCCTCATATTCTGTCTTTGAGTTAAATTCTTTGTGTCTTACTCACAAAGAATGAATATGGGGGTACGAACTGAACGACTGAAGATTATAGGGAAAAAGTTGACTTTTCTGGGTAGATAGGACTCGTGGGGTTTGACCCGCTCCCCGTTGTGGACAACCTCATCAGTCAAAAAAGAAAATCCCCACAAAAAATCGAAAGACTCTAGGCTTTAATTTTGACCGTTGCAAACCCAGTAGTTTCTTAATCATGATCAAGTAGGAGAGAAAAAAAAGCAACTTTTCGGTGTAAGTTGGGGAAAAATATAAAAGGAATCCACACAGTAAATCGAAGGACTCAAGGCTTAGTGTTAAAATTGATGTGTAGAATGACACCACTCATTAGTCTTTTGAACGTGGCTAATGTAAGTAGGAGGGAAAAGAAAATTTTAGTTGCCCAAATAACCACAGTATCAGCAAAAATACTTGGCTAACTATAAGAGGAAAATCTAGGAAAAATTGATGGTCTACCTAGAAGTCTACCTAATGTGTAGAATGACACCACTCATTAGTCTTTTGAACGTGGCTAATGTAAGGGTTATTGGTTATTGGCTACGGTTAAAACTAAAAAGCGAAAATTTGTGAACACACCCATAATGTGATATTTAGCCAAAACATAAAACCAAAAAAGGGATTCTTAAACTTGGATTACCCGAAAAAAAACAAAGTACAGGATAATAAGGGGACACTAGGTTAACAACGGTCACAACCCCAGCAAGTGATTTTTCAGAAATTCCCCCAAAATGTGATATTTAACCAGAAATAAAACCGAAAAAGAGTTCTTAAACTATGGATTACCCTAGAAAAGTACCGGTTAATAAGGAGATACTGGGTTAACAACGGTCACAACCCCAGCTATCATCTACTCAAAAAATACCCCAAAAAAGTAAAGCCAAAAAAAACCTCTTCATCTCCCCGAATAGCCAAATGCAAATGACGCGGAGTAATACGCTTCACTTTGAGATCACGCGCAGCATTCCCAGCAAGTTCAATCACCTCAGCAGTCAAGTACTCGAGCACAGCAGCCATATAAACCGAAGTTGGTTTGGTTACACGAGTGGCATAACGACCTTAAAATTTTCTTTAAAATCTTTAAAAAATAACTAAAAAATAAACCAGTCTTAAGCTTTCGACGAATACGCAGAGGAGGAAATACAAGGCCAGACTTCTCTGTGACATTCAACTTTTTGGGAGAATTCGAATCCTTTTTGATCTTATTGACGGAAATCTTCTTCACAGGAGGCATTTTTTGTTGAAAATTTTTGGTAGGATAAAAGGAAAATCTAAAGAGATAAATGAAAGGTAAAGAAATTTTAAAAGAAAAACTCGAAAAAGACTCGAAAACTTTTAAGAAACGAAAAAACTACAGTAGAAGTACAGTAAAAGTACAGTAGCCATTAAATGGGATTAAATGTAGTTTTGGGGTCGTTTGAGCGCCAAATTTGAGCGCCAGCCATATTTGAGGGGTTATAACTTTTTTTGGATTGATCCTATCCAAACAAATTTTATACCATTCGAAAGCTCTCGATAAGCTGTATCTTTATGCCAATTGGACGGATCAGGTCTGATCATCCATTAAAAAGTTATAGCCCGATAAGTACAATTATTTGGTGTTTTTCACCTTTATCGGGTTGTAACAATTTTAGGGAGTGATCAGACCTGATCCATCTATTTGAAAAAAAGATACCGCTTATCATGCGCTTTCGAATGATATAAGATTCCTTCAATTGTATCGAGGTGAAAAAAAGTTATAGCCTATCAAAGTAGGCTGGCGCTCTATGGCAGCGCTCTAGTGGCCGGATCACTTTCTATATGTAAATTTACAAAACATCTAAAATAAATTGTTCTAAAAAACTTTTTGGAAAAATTTTTCGGTACTTTTCCGTTTTGTTACACCCCCAAATATTAATGCTCAAAATGTCACATATAGGGTAATTAAAGGTGCTGAGTCGAACAGTACCCTTCTTTTTCCCAGGAGATGTCTGTGGACCGAGATATAGGGCTCGAAATGGTCAAAAACCATAGGGGGGAGTAAGCTCATTTTTGGGGTAAAAATTCGAATATACAAATAATACACCATTCGAAAGAGCTCATGGAGCTGAGTCGAAAGACACCAAGTTCAACGAAATCTGATTTGATTTGACCGAGATTCAGGTCCCTGAAAATTGAAGAACCACACAATTTTTTGTATCGTAACTCGGTCTAAACTTGTTCGAAGACGGTGATTTTGGTGTCATTCAACTCAGCTCGTCGAGCTCTTTCGAATGAGTTATTATGTGCACATTTGAATTTTTTACCCCAAAATGGCCAAATGGTTTTTGACCATTTCGAGCCCTTTATCTTGGTTCACAGACATCTCCTAGGAAAAAGAAGGGTACCATTCGATATTCGCCTGCATCCGCCGGATATACCCGGATACGGGTACAAAAATCTGTGTCCATGGAAGTCTGGACTGAACCATTAATGGTCTTCTGACGCTATGTCCTCTCTTTCAACTGCGTAAACCACTGTGCGTGTATAGGATTTTGCTTGCGAAAGCTTGCGATACCAATTTCGAATAGTTCATTTGTTTTTTGTTCATCGTTTCTTGTTCTTTTTAATTTTCTAATTTTATACTTTTATTTTTTTTTATTTCTAGAGAACTTTTCTTCAAAAAATTTTTTGTGTAATTGAACCAAATTATTTGTGATGCAGCAAGAAGTTCCAGAAGTACCACAACATATAATTGTAGTATGTTTTTTTATTATTTTTTAAGATTAGCTAAGTGCTTCACTTAGGTAAAATAGAGTAAAATGAAAATTTTCTTTCGATTTTCTGACTATTTAGGCCCCAATGATTTTTTTTGAAAAATCAAGAACTATTAACTGGCTAGGATTAAAGGGATTTAGTTTATTTGGCAGACTCTATTATAACAAATTTATAGTCGGATTTCCCCGCTTTTTTAAATTTTCGTTGTAGAACTTTCCCACAAGGTCATTAAATGGGTTTGCTTGGTTAGTGTGTGTTTGTGTAAATGCGGCTACCTATGAAGTCCTAGCGTTATTTTTCTTTGCTAAAATGTAGGTTAGACTATTCTCTTTAATGGAACTTAAGAAAAGAAAAAAATCAGTTCCTATTGAATTATTGCGTGAAATTGTTTGTTTTCTGCCTTTAGATGTAGAATTCGCAGATAAAAGGATTTCATTCATATTTGATCTTTTTATTTTGAAAATTCACCATCGTTCGGTTGTTTCTATCAGAAAAATAAGGAATTCTGTGAGTATTTATTTTTGTTAAGTGAAGCACTTAAGTTTAATCTACCTATAATTTTTTTTATTTTTTGAACAATTTTTTTAGTTCATCCAAGGCCTTGAACATGGAATTGAACTTTTGGAGCTTTTACAAGAGGATGTTTTTGGTATGGATGCGACCAACATCCAGGACCTTTCTGCTATAATCGTCACTGGATGGGGAGGTTTTTTTTCATTTTTAGTGTTAATTTTAACCATTTATTTTGTAGTAGCTACCTTTTGTGCACTCAAAATAGTTCCATTTTCGTCAGAGTTTAGTGATTTATTTGATCAACTCAACGCAGCATGGACTACAAATTTTTTTCACCATACACATAATGGTGTGGGAGAGGATGCTCTTGCAGGAGTTAGTTTTTATTTTTTATGTTAATGTTAAAAAGAGTTTGGATGTAGTTTAGTCTAGGGCCTGCACCTAAACGGGTCAATCGATTCCTCTCGGTGAGCTGAATCGAGCGGTATCACTCCAGGTGCGAAAATGCCTAGTTAAAATCAGCACAAAATTGTAAGCAAAAACATCCTCTTACTAATTATTGTTCATCTTAATTCTCATTACATTTAATTAAATTTTAGTTACGTACTTCTGCAAACAATCTTATTACTCAATTGACTGACCTTCTCACCAATATTCGAGATGTTGGCGTTGATATTCTGAACTTGGTTAATCCACAGGCTCTTCAATCGGTTCTAGATGAGGTCTCGGCGATGTCTAATCTGCTTCAGCATTTCATCAATGAAGATGAAGAAGATGAGAATGTTGAGGAGGAAGAGGAAGGAGAGAATGTTGACGGAGAAGATTAGTTGGGAACGAATAAAAATATTGGTATTTTTGTTTTTTAGTGATTTAAAATAATTTAATTTTGTTAATTATTTAATTTAAAATAAATCGAGCTTTCCAGTTTTTTTTCCAAGGAAGAACCCCAAAAAATCTTTCCGCACTAAACAAAATCCCACCACCTTCCTTGTAAATGACTTAAGAAATTATTTACAAGTGTATCAGTATTTGTAGCCTTGATTTTCGTTAGGGAGTTCTCCCAGTTTGTAAAGATCAATTGGAAGGCTAGATTCCCGATGTTCCGTTTCTCAAAGTTGATTCAAGAGACTTATAGATAATTAATTTTTTGTCTTTTTTCCTTCAGTTCCCAGTTAGTATAGTGGTTAGTATCCGCGCCTGTCACGTGCGAGACCCGGGTTCGATTCCCGGACTGGGAGGTTAATTTTTTTCAACCTTCCTATATTTTCAATAACATTTTCCGGTTATTTTTCAAACTGTTTCTATTAATTTTATTTTAAAATTTTTTATTGAAATTTTACTCATTTTTCTACTACTTCGACCCAAAAATTTTCATATGTTTCACCCCAAAGCTTATCAGAAAAATTAACCCGGGTTCGATTCCCGGACTGGGAGGCTCATTTTTTCAACCTTCCTATATTTTTTAATAAAATTCCTGCTCGGATTTCAACGATATTTCTGTCTATTAAATTTATTTGAAACTTTTTTTCTTGAAATTTTGTTCATTTTTTGTCACTATTCGGCTCAAAAAATCGATAATTTTCACCTCAAAGCTTATCAGAAAAATTAACAACATATCTCTTTATTATAATAATAACAAAATCTCTATTTGTATATATCCAAAAACACCAAAAAATATCATCATTAAAAACAAAACGAAAAAATAAAACTACTATAATAACGAAAAATATCCGCATTACAAAAAATTTTTCTTATGGTCAGGGCTAAAGTAAATTGTTGGAGGAGGGATTTAAAAAATTAATTAAAAAATAAAACCTTTTTCGAATTTTTAAAGCAAAAATCCCTTCAACAACACACAAAATACAATCAACAGGAATATTAATAAATTCTTCATTTTTTCTTCATGCCCATCGTCCTCTAGTTTTTGTTACTTGTTCACCTCCACCTCCCAATCCACCAGGACCGCCTCCTCCTCCTCTCTGTGGACGATGGAAAGCACCTACAATAAAATTTTTAGAGTAAAAAATGTGCGCGAGAAAATAAATTATAAAAAAAATAGTGGAAGGAAGAAAAATCCCTCATATTTTTGGGAAGACGAAGGAAAACGAAAAACTTTTCGGAAAATTTTTTAAAAGTCCCCTTCTTTCAAAAAATATTTTTTATTAAAAAAATAACGGAAGTGAGAAGAGAATCCTTATAATCCTTGGGAAATGAAAAGTTTGAGGAAATTAAAAAAAATTTTTTAGCCGCCCTCCCCTCCAGAAAATATTTTCATACATAATAAAATCCGGATTCACAACCTCCCAACATTTAAAAAAATTAAAAAAAAATTTTGAAAAATTTTCCCTCCCTTCCGAAAAATATTTTTTGGACCAATTCCAAATACTCCAGCCTCTTTCCCCCAAATCCTCTCAAAATTTAAAAAAAATTTTAAAAATTCCAAACCTCCACCAATCCTTTCACTACCACCAACTCCACCACCACCTCTTTTATCAGCTCCTCCATACATTCTTCGATTATCTGCTGGCATAATTCCAGCCAAAGAAGTTGGTCCTCCTCCTCCCCCACTTCCAGTTTGTTCAATTGAGGATACTTGAGAAAACTTTTCGGCAGCCTGAAGAGAAAGTAATTGTAACTTGCTTGGTTCAACTTTATGCATTATTAAACAATCTGTTGATTCATCAAATTTAGCACTCAATTCTTCTTGCAAAATCATTTTGCTTTAATTAAAATAAAAAAAATTTTTTAAGGTCCTCTTAACAACTTTGAACAATTTTTGGGGGGGTTTTGAGCTCATAATTAGACCAAAAGTAATTTTATAAACGTCTTAATAGATTCTAGATCCTGAGACTGACAGTCAGGAAAAATCCAAGTAAAACCTTAAAAATAACTTAAAAATACCCTATAATCATGAGTCATGACCAGAGCAATTTTGAAGCAAAATATTAGGGTTACCAGTTCGCTCGACCCGAAACTCGAAAAAAA